ACAGCCTCAGTACCTGCGTTTTATCCTCAGATTAAAAGTATTATTGTGTGCTTGATGTGCCTCACCTTTGGCCCTGGCTCCTCCCCTCTGACTGCACTAGGACATATTGTCATCTGACAAAATAACACATGGATTCGTGCCATATAAAAAGTGAGACATGTCAATTCAGATTCTTTGTCAAACATACACTAATGAATCAATTTACATCAGCAGCCTAACAATTGTCATGATAATAAATACTAGTTAATCTACAGCACCAAATCATCAGTCAGTCACCTGTGAGCTCGCCTCTCCACCTCTGTCCGAGCTACAACATGGCAGAGCTGCCTCTGTCACCTGATGAATAACAGTGAGACACTCCACATACATGCAGTCACACATGTGCTTCAAATACAGTCATGAACCATCAAGTCATCATTTCACCTGTGTCACCATTACTCTCTGAGCTTTGTGTTGGTTGGAATATTTGCAAAATCATGACTACCTCATGACATTTTGTCTCAAAATTAACGCTATGAATATGTCAGCACCATTAGGATGAAATTATTGTGTCACCAACATTTTAACGTTAGACATATCATTTTAACAGCCTCTGTAAACTAATATCCGGCTGCTCGAGGCTGCCGTTTTCTCTGACAGTTTCAATCAAAATGAGAAACGCTGCTCTGAGACTGAGAGAACTAATAGTGCCGCCTGTTGTGCAGTTAGTTTCCAAAACACGTTATTCATGGTTACATACAGTTTTAGACTGATGTGGGCCAAAGCCTAGCATAGCCTGTAACGTTATTATGACACATTTTACGAGTGAACTTGGCTTTAAGTGACTTACAGGTTTCTTTGAAAAATACTTTCTTATATCCAGGTTCTTCCTTTTTGCTGCCGTCCTCCTCTCCTCCTGGCAGCGCAGGTTTGCTGCAGAGCTCCCTGAAAGGCACAGCCAATCACATTGCCATATTTGTCACATGACGTAGGACTCCAGTAGAGAACGTAATTGAACTCTTTCTGCACCGCTGGGTGAATGAGATGTCGACAGATCGTTTTTTTTTTTTCTTTCTATTGGGTTTGTTTTCTTTACTCGAAGCGATCAAATTATTGGTGGGGACAATTCAATAATCGCTGAATATTGGTGGTCCATGCCAAATCTACGCCCTTGCATGATTTGAATCCTGGGCTGAGCGAAATCCCAGAAATAAAGACAAAGCGAATCTGTGAACTAAGGTGTAGGAAAGAAAAGTTCAAAGCCATCAGGTGCTCAGTTTAGAAAAAAGAGAAAAGAAGAGGAGGAGAAACGAGCAACAGATACAGGTAAGCAGATGTGTCATTGGATAATGGCAGGTCATCCTGAAACAATGAGAATCAGAATACTTTATTAATCCCTAAGGAAATTATGTGGGTTACAGTTGCTCCAAGAAGAAATGGAAAAAATAGCAACAGTAACAGACTAAACTCCAAACAATACATTATGATACACAGTTTAATATTAATTAGTCATTGTCAGTTGTTGATTTGTCCTGTTCTCATTGTATGACAAATTATGATGGCTGTTTGGTAGCTGTTTGCATACAATGCATACTCTCTCTCTCTTCACATGTGTGTGCTTCTCTGGTGAAATTCAGTGTGGTCCCGACAACAGTTTTATGTTAATGTACAACCCTTAATATGTTTTATGTACAGTATGTGTGTCCGTGTGTGTGTGTCTTTGTGTGCATGTGTGTGTGTGTGGGGGGGGATGTCAGATGGAGTGTTCACCCAGGGCGCCAAACAGGCTAGGACCGCCACTGTGCATGACTATTGCCTTCGGCGTGAGCTACATACGTGGCGAACTTGGTCACCAGCATTCATGCTTCATTTTAACCTTTTACCAAGTAAGATTTCAAAACAAAGCGCAACAATTGTGAAACAAAAGTTTGATTTAAAAATTCTGTCCCAGGTACATTTCTAGGTAACAATAAGGATTCTTCAGCTGACCTGTTGCTTGTTTAGGAACAAAAGTTTATGTGATGATCGGAACCAAAATTGGGACTAATCTTTGCCTGTTACTGATCTGATTTACACAACAGACATGTTGTTGTTTAATAATAATGTTGATAACTAGAGCATGTCTCAAAACCATCTGGATAGTGTCAAGTTTACCACACTATAACATCAGCTCTTCCTGTAACTACAGTCTGGGAACATAGCAGGCAGATGCTTGAGAGGAATGCTATCCTGGAGGACTCTATCTGCTCAGCAGTCCGGGTCTGCTTTTTCCTTTTTTTTTTTGTTTCATCACACCTTAAATGTGTGACTTGTTAAAAGGTGTGCATGGCAGGCAGGCTTTTCTTCTACTGTTTTCTTCTACTTCTACTGTAATAGATGCAGTGCGTGTGTTTTAGCATCGTCTTGCTATTTTTGTGCTATATTCAAGAGGCGTCATCTGGATGGGAGCAGATGTTGCTTTAAAACAGGGTTGGGAAGCTCCAGGCCTCAAGGCTGGGGTCCTGCAGGGTTTTAGATATATCTTGAACACAGCTGATTTAAATGGCTAAATTACATCATCAACATGTTTTGAAGTTGAAAGAAATTTAAAATTTAGATTTTTTATTTTAAATGAGGCTCAGAGAAAATGACAGTGTTTCAAACATCCTCAATGCAGATGCGGATCACACAGTGAACAGAGTTCACAGATAGTGATCTCTCAAAGTGTGGTGCTGAGCCCATGCACTAATATCCATTACAGGATCAACTAATTTTCAGACTTTTGGCTGAGTGTTTCGATTAGATGTACTGCAGATGATGAGATTCTGCCAGTCTTTACGTCTGAGAAGCTGTGCATTGCTCGGTGTTTTGAAGGAAGGCTCAGAGGAGGTTGGAGATTGTTACCATCATTAGGGATGGGTATCGTTTAGGTTTTATCCCATACCGGTACTTTTGAAACGGTGCTGGTGCTTAAACGGTGCTCGAATCGGTGCTTAAAGAATCAAGAACACAAACTTTGTCCTAAAACCTCTCATGTTTAGCTGTTTTTTGTAAAAAGATAACAATGTTAGCCTTTTCTGCAGCTATGGGGCATATATGGTATCACTCTTGGCTGGAAGCAGTGCTTAATCATTGAAAAAAAAAAAAACCACCAACTTTATCCAAAAACCTCTCACGTTTAGCTGTTTTCCACTTTTTCTTTGGTCATTTTAGCCTTTTTGTCCAGGGAGAAGGGAGTATCTGCCATCAAACAAGACAGCCGCATGTAACTACGACGGTGTTTGCTAGTTCACCTTAAATGCATTAATTTGATAACGTGGTTAGCCTACTCAATGTAAACTACTTGGTCTCTTCCTGTGATCTCAGATTACCCAGAAGGTATAAAGCAGGAAGTAAAACAACATTTCCTCCTTTTGTTTCTGTAAGACAGGTAGGTAAGGTAACTTTAAACAATAAAAATAACAGTTGAATAAAGAACATGTTAACTTAACAAACTCGTAGGAATTGATTTAAACCAAGATGTTATATTATATAATCTGTAAAAGTGCAAAACATAAAAACCTGGGATAGTAGATGTTTGCCTATTGCAGACTACATGTAGAGCCATATGAGTTGTTCCTTTTTGACTAAGTGGGTTGGTTTAAATGGACTCACTGTATTGGTGCACGGGTGTGGGGCGTGTCTCATGGGTGTGGTAGATGATAAATCTGGTTGCACTCACCTGTTCACCGTACCTGGTGTTGATGAGCAGAAAGGTAGGATGAGCATGAGGCAAAACTTTCTGTTGACTGCAGCTTGAATGATTTTGATGTATTTTGACTGGAACTTGATGGTTTATGTTAGTGATGGCCAAATGAAGCTTTCCGAAGCACTGAAGCTTGTATTGAAAAACGGTTCATTACTCGAAGCTTTTCAACACAGTCCTCTCCGGTGACATCTGGTGGTGAAAATTTTGAAGAGCAGCTTGAATCTGCAAAATAAAACGGACTGCTCAATTATCACTGCTCACTCAAGAGTGGAGTTCTCTCTGATATTGGGCCACCGTTCCGTTGCTTTGAACATGTAATTGTTTTTTTTTCTCGATTGGGGGGCTGAAAAAAATGTAATGCGTATTTGCGTAATACATTTTGATCAATAAACTTTCCCTATTTAAACATGCACTATGGTGGCCTTTCTTTGCTCATAACTCCTTGATGTTGGTAAATACAATAAGTGAGCAATATATATAATATACATATGATAACGCACAGCACATTATGGAGTATGCCCCTGCTGTGAAGTCCTGCCTCCATCTACTTGTCGTTTAATCACTGGACAGCTGGACAGGTTCATACAAAATATTAGATTAGGCCAATTGTCCTATACACATATTTTTGACCTAGGGGTGGGATTGATTGTGAACTGGAAAGGGAA